GTTATCTATATATCACACTTTTATATCACCTTAACGAATTTTAACTAATGCAGCGATTTTGATAATATTCAGTGACAAATAAGAACAAACATGGAAATATGCGGAGAGCGGAGAAAGCACTTTGGGATATTTCTAATCCATTTGCTATTACAGAAATCTATTCTACAACAGTAGTAAGTTTCAAATTAATCGGAGGTACGCACTTTTTGGAACTTCACCCAAAGTATGTGCAGCAATTAAGTATTATAAAAGAGTATGGATCTTTATTAATATTATTTGCAATCTTATAATGATTATACATCATTTTTTTGTATATATTGTGATGTGGCCATTACAAGTCGGTGCAGAGCGGGAGCGGTGAGTACCGAAACAAATATTAAATTATTTTTAGCAGCGGGTGGCGACGCCCGGGGTATCCAGGAACAATCACTAACTGTAAGTATTGTTCGTTTGATGAAACAGTATTTGTAAGTAGCATTAACCAGTTAACTGTGATTGACGACTATACTTGTCATGAAAACACGTTTCAAATAGGTCGACACAGTTAACTGGTTAAGTAAGGCCGCGTCGAGGAGGGATGTCAGGGAAGGGCCCCCGGTTATCGAGCGATTTGTCACATTCAACGGAGCGCGGACCTTTGGTTGGTGTGCCGCGAGACTCTTCCCGACACCTAGCGTGGGCCTAGTTAATCATCTAGCGTCCAACGGTCCCGCGAAAGAATTCGGGAGGGGGCTTTCCGCAATTCGGGCGATCCTGCCGGCGCTCGGAGCTCATTGTCCTGGATGCTCCGAGCGTAGCCGGTACATGTACACTGAGACGCCGAGCTATCCCGTTACCGTTACCATCCCTAAGAGGGAATCTCTACCGTTTCGCCCGCGGGTGTGAATTTAAGGTGAGCAAACCCACATGGGATTCCTTTGAGAGTTCTTTTCCGCTTCCGTCCGAAATGTGTGTTTCCGCGTGAGCCTCCTTGGCGCGTACCTCTCGGCCACCTCGTCATAGTGGCTGACCGCGTGCGCCGGACGCGTAGATAAGTGAATTCCCGCGTTTACCACCCGGCTAGCTCTCGTCCGTCCGATTTTATGTAATTGTCTTGTGAACGTGATCCCGCGGCTTTCGAGATAAATCCTTCCGAGGCGTTTGAGGAAAGTGTTCCCGCGGTTTGGAAAAATAGTACTTGTTGCTCCTGGAGTCAGTTTTGATGGGCCGTGGACCGCGCAGAGTCGGATAGAGCGTTGTGCTCTAGAGGGTGGGCAGTGCCGCCCGTCCCCTGGGGCCAAGTGGCCCCCGTCGTTTAGTATAGTGCCGGCGGAATCCAGAAGTCGGCGTCCTACTTGTTGTATTTGTAATTCCGCCCTCGTGAGACAGTCGCGGAATAAATAACTACCGTGCCGTTTTCCGAAGAACTTGGTTGTATTTTTTCCGTTTAACGGTCCGTCCTCCCGGTACTCCTCGGGTTGTAGGAACTTCGAATCCCCAGTCTCTACCGTGCCGCGGAAAGTCGAGACTTCCGCGGGGCTGAGTGGCCGGCGGTCGAGGCCGTTCTCGTCCCGCGACGTCGGCCTTGCCCTCGCCGGGAATCCGCGGGCCGCAGCACGCTTCTTGCGTCTGGTGCCCTAATAAAAATAAAGCGGCCTTGCGGCTGTTGGGCGGACTTCCTCCGGCCGACCTCGCGGAGAGGCGATCCATCTGCGGACCTCGATCCCTTCCCCTCGTTTGCCAGCGCGCCACCAGTTAACGGAAAACGCGTTGTAATATCAATACCAGATTTTATACTAATAATTCATAGTTCTTTACTGATGCCAAATAGGTTTAACACAGGTATTTTTAGTTGGGTCTTTTCTGCTATCGATTAATAATAAAATCCGAATAATTAACGAGTTGCACGTGACTATTCAATTAATTATTTATTAAATAAATTAATGAAAGTGGTGGGAATGGAACAGAGAAAAGGGAGGAGGTAGAAGGGGTTACAACAGAAGTGGTGGAGGGGAGAGGCAGAATGTGGAGAATAATTGGAATGTATCTACAAGGGGACATAGAGGGAAAGATAAAGAAGTCGAAGGTGTGAATTGAAACAAGTTGGGGGAGGGAGAGGACGAGGAGGGTAGGATCTCACGGGATACAGCAGTGAACGATGAAGGCAAGAAACGGATAGACGAAATGAGAGAAATGCCTGTATCGATTTGGAATGGGTACATGAAGGGGACTGAGAGGGGGAAGTGGGGATACTGTGATTGACTACACCCTAGGGTACAAGGAGGTAACGGAAGAAGATGCGGATTGAAGATGAGGAAGACACGGATTATCACCCGGTAATGGTGACATTTAAGGGGCCTTGATACAGACCAGATCTATAGCACCGATATCATATTTATTGACATAAATTTACAATAAACTTAAAATCCAAACGATAAATCAATTGAAATATACAAATCGGACTACGAGACAAAAATTAAAAAATCTAGGGCGTAACACTTCATTATCAATCCTCCCGACACATATTTTTTTAGATTTCACTCTTACCGATTATAAATTCAAATAACTTCTGATAGGCTGTATTTTCCTCTCTTTTGGAGCTCTAGAACTATAAAAACGAAATCCCTTACAGTCAAAATCAAGTCTATATATGATGTATTCTGAAAATTAAGGCGATATGAACGATGCTGAGAAATTTAATCGACGTCGATAAAATAAAATTCATCTATACCCTTTTTGGTGGTAATGCCATTTTCAATACTCAAGTGGTAACATAAGCTGGCGCGTAACGTTACCGACATTTATATTTATGTTAAAATCTGTTATACTCTACGTTGAGAATTATAAGAAAGAAAGCGTTCCATATGTCATTTGGGTAAAGTAATGATAAAGAGATCGATATAAAACTGTCAAAATACCGTGGATTCATGACTTTATATACTCTAGTGGATCAAAGATGTTATCTGTGACGTTTAGCTACAACAAAATTGTTTCTCTAAAAAGCATATGTTCCCCCGGGACAAGCCAACATCCCCATGCTGTTGGTGAAAGTATTTTCCATATTTTTCCATCTGCCTCTGTAATATTACACTTTCATAGTATTTTAAATTGTTCAAGCTAGGTACTGAAATTCTTCAATTTCTATTCTAAGCCTACAAAAAGCGAAAAACATAAAAAATGTGCACAGACCACTTGTGGTCCTAGTCCATGATAAATAAATACATTTTTTATGAAAAATTAAATTTCACGAGTTTCAGTATCTACCTTAGGGCACGAATCGGGACACCCAACTCGGAGAATACTTTCACAAATAATTTGACCTCTCAGATATGTATTAAAGGCTGCCACTTTCATATCACCTTAAGTAGATTGAAAAATTGCGACAAAGTCAGTATATTTGTCATGCAGTTTTGGGCTATTTCAGTTCATCGATATTCCACATACAAATAGCGCCAATTAACGCGTTTCAAATAAGCGATTCTCATTTCACAACAGGAACTGTCATTTTAGAGGACAGATAGTGGTTCTCATTCTCGACGTTTGATTACGGTCGCTAGACCCTGCCCTGTTACCTTTCAACCCAAGGGGACATTCACTTAGGAAATCATGGATTTTAATGCTCGAAATCACGTGGAAATCAGTTGGAAATGGAAAACAGAAATCACTGAAAATTGTTGGAAATCATCTAAACATTGCCACAATTTTAAGATCAACCTTTACTTGTTACCGAATCGCATTGATGTTTATCATAGGAAATTAAAGGCAATCGGTTATCAAGGAAGGAAATAGTTTTCACTGATTTTTGAGTGAATAGCCCCCCGCTTCGACCTATGGCTTCAAAACGTCTTGAGCTTTGCTCGATCGTTGGCGTTCATGTATGGTTCACAGATCTTCCTGCTCCGTCCCCCCTCGGCCTGCCATATCCTAATTGTAGGTTTTCGAAACCGTAAACACTGCGCCATACGGTCAGATCCCTAAATTGAAGTAGTTATTAAAACAATTTTTGAAAATTGTATTTAATTATTAAATCGATTTCTACGAATATTGGTATTGTATGATAATTACAGCAAACAATAATAATTATCATTAATTAATATAATAATCATAAAAATTTAATAACCCTTTTGCACTAGAAAGGTGACTTTTAGTCACCTCTGCCAACTGAATGGCAGAGGCCTCGAGTGCAAAGGGTTAATACTGGATTAAAATGTTATAACATTGTAACTAATTTCCACGGGAGGGTGAGTAGTATAAACGATTTTTATGAAACTGAATAGTCCACAAACAGGGTACTAATCATTACTATATTCACAAAAATCTTTGTCATTAAACTTAGAGAACAAGTTTTAAAATCGAACGATTGTAACATGAACACTTTGAGCCATTCGTGATATTCACATAAAAGATAATCTTAATTTTTACTGCATCCGTAATTATTTGGTTCAAAAAAGTATTTTGAATATAGAATATAATTCAATTTGACATAAATTGCGGTTTTCCAGTCCGAGCAGTTTCATACAGTAATTTTTCATTACGATTAATCCGAAATTGTTTTTGTTTGTTGGTTTGTCCATCTCATAGTTTTAGATTGAATCGGATCTTGAGTTTAAATTTTGAATTTAGATGTTTTCGATTGAGAAGCATGAATCCTATTGCCACATACAGCCCGGGAGCGACAAGCGAAAAGCAGTAAGTGACACCAATGAGCAAAGCGAATTTTCCGTATCCTTACCGTCACTTCGGAAATATCTGACGGTATCATTGGTCGTCGTTTGCTGCTCGTTACTTGTTCCCGGACTGAATTTGGTAATAAGACCCTCGGGTTCCTCATCATTGAAACCCGCAAAGTTAAAAATTATATACCCAAGAGTCGATCCGAATTTAGATTATGAGATAGACAAAAAACAACCACAATTGCAGATTGGTAGTAATGAAACATTGGGTGCATTCAGAGGAGACAACTGTTGAGTGATCGGTTAGCGCTCATCTGCTGAATGGGTATGTTTACTCAACATATTTACTGATCAGACCATTCTGATCACCATTTTCAGCAGAAAATCGCAACATGTTCCCAACTCATCGGTAACCGCTTTTCTCCTCTGAATGCACCCATTATTCTATGGCACTGTTCGTAACTCGGATTCCACTATTCACCTGAAATTTAATTATATTCTATATTCAGAATACTTTTCTTAAACGAATAATAACGAATGGAAGAAAAATTAGGACCCGTATCTTTTACGCACTACATCATTACATACGGATCACAGTTCATATTATAATTGTCCTATTTGAAAGCTTCTTTTCTAAGCAAGATGTCGCGGTATTTTATAAATCTGTTGTTGATTAGTATCCGTTCGTGGTAACACGTTTTGTGAACTGTCCATTTTTAAAAAAAGTCGTTTATACTACCCATTCGCTTGTGGCAAGAAGTTACGGTAAATGTTATATTTAGAGGACCCACCTCCGATGACCTTGACCTTTACATGTTGTCAAGGTCATCCTTCTGAGTGACCTCCACAAGGTTTTATCCGTAGCTCATTGTTTGTTAAAAAGTTATTAATAAAATAATGTTGATGAGCTGAACGTACATTTTCGACACTGGGTGTAAATTTAACTTTGACCTTGACATATATTGCCAGGATCACCCTCCTGAGTAATCTCCATAAGGATGTAGCCATCGCTCGTTGTTCGTTTATTTATTTCTCGTTGTTGAATATATATCTAAAGACTCGTGTATTATTGCAAGAAACTGGTACCCGACCGCCTCGCGGCAGCCGGATTCTAGCTACTAACCTAATCTGACCCCACATTAACTCAAATCAATCTTTCCAAACATTAGGAATACGATATATAAAGTTAAACATACGTTGATATTCCCAACACTTTTAGAACGAATTAACTTGAGTTGATTTGGATTCATTGATTGATGGGTTTGCTCGATTTGGGAATTTGAGCTGGTTAGGGTAGTAGTTACAGTCCGGCCGCCGTGAGGCGGCCGGCCGTTAATAATCTACAACAATGCATCTGATTCCATTTCACTTAACACGTTCCCTGCCGCGTGAGGCGTATGCGCCCCACGCTGAACTTTCCGTTCAAGCCATTTGGTATTATCATTGTAAAACGAAGAATTTTTTAAAAATTCATTATGCAGTCAATTATGGGCATCTTAATGCTATTGCTGATACGCTCATTTGATCGTGGGGCGTATACGCCCCACGCGGCCTGAACGGAAAGTCTTCAAAAAACGGTCTGGCACGGAACGTGTTAATAATATTTCATTATCCAATTATGTTCTAGTAGAAACATCGGACTTACATTTTCGAAGAAAGCGTTGATACGTTTACCGGAATGGTATTTTCTTTTAAATAAGTATTTAGCGAGATAACGATTATGAGTGATGATAGAATCTCGACAAGAAAAGCCAAAACGGAATAGTGAGTGTATGCATGAATATTTATATACAATGCGTATATACTAGGTTTCGAGTTCTTAAATATACACCCAATGTCGAAAACGTACGTTCACCTCATGAAAATTATTTCGGTTATAACTTTTTAACCAACAACTAGCGACGACTAAAATATTGTGGAAATCACTCCGGGGGATGACCTTGACAATATGTCAAGGACAAGGCTATCGGAGGTGGATCCCCTAAACGTAACATTTACTGACGTTACAATTTCATATTTTTTACCCGTTATTGATAAACAACAACAACGATGACGATGACGATATACATCAATAATGGTTTATTATAATTATTCTACAATACCAATATTCATAGAAATAGATTTATCAATGAATTGTAATCAAAGGCATGTTATTGGTAACTATTTTGATTACGGGATCTAATGGCATGGTCCAGCGTTTGCTGATTCGGAAATCTACAATTTGGAAGTAACAAAGGTTGAAAAGAAATGGGGCCAGAGGATCGGCCAACACTCAGCGACCACCCAGTATAGACCGAGTGAGGTTGAAACGTTTGGGAAGTATTAAAGACCAGGGGTTAACAAGGCATTGAAACATCAAATGAACGCCACACAGAGATCGATTCAAGCGCTGGCAAGACGTCAATATTGATAACGTGGTAAGTCATCAACTGACAATAAATGTGGCAACAAGTAACGATCACTATCATCGATAACATACACTGATTTGCAAAAAAGTTAATTTAATTTCAGAAAGTGACGGAACGTTCGAGTTAACCGGGTTTGATATTGAGGCCCCTGTATTAAGGAGCGGGAAGAGAAGAAAGGCATAAAAGAGAACGGCAGGGGGGGGGGGAGGTGAAAGTTGAGATAGGGACAATAGCGAAATGGCAGCAGGAGAATCAGGAGAGAAAAATTTGGAAAAGGGGGTGGTATAACGAAGAGTGTTGGGAGGAAAGATAAGAAAGAAGTTGCGTAAGTGGAGGAGGGAGAAGGAGGAAGAAAAGTAAGGTATTTTAGGATAATAAGGCCCATCATAACTTGAAAGGCTTGTAAAAACTAAAATATAAAGTATTTTAGGAAGGGGAAATGAACAGAATGTTCCAGAAAAATGTTTATTTCAGTTACAAACTATAAAAATAAAATATAATTCTAAATAAATACGTAATTAAAAAAATTGCAGGATGGTGCTCCTGGGCTTTGTTACCTGTACGTGTAGGTAATTAGGCCCACAGACATCGGCAGTAGGATGCATACATTAATTTGCCCACTTAGGGCAAGTCATGTCATCAATATCCTCGAATGTTGTCATCAGGCATTCTTCATAAAGCCATTTTCTGCACAGAGTACACTGCCGCATATCGACAACCCTATTTTCTTCGTAAAGGCTGCGTTACCAATTCTCGGTCTTCTTTGAGGTACCAGGCTTCGTTTTTCTTAAAGTATTTTGATTCACTTTTGTTGCGATGTTGGATTTACTGCAACTAGTCATAGTCTCGTGTCCTTTCTGAGAAAGATATTTAGTTGGGGTGTGTTACACTATGTCGGGGCTTATTACCCATTCGGCGCAATTTACACTTCGTTATAATTTCTAAAATAGCAAACTTTTTCAACAAAACTAATTCAACAGTATGTAGAGGAAAGTATAAGGTACTACATGCCTGCTAGTCATAACAGTACTTCACAAAACTTTGTGAAAAACAGCTTGAACACTGCAACAAATGTTTATAAAATTCACCCAGAAATATTTTTAATCAATCTCAGTTTACCATGGACTCCTGCACAGCCCCGATAATACAACCAGTGGACTCGTCTTTGCCCTACTAATTGGCAGAGGGAGCCACAAACATTGCACTTCTGCTATATGGTGAAAAATAAGTATGGGTCTTGCTACCCACATGGGCCTTATAACCAAAAGTTACCTTATAGGGAGAAGAAACGGGAATATAAGGTAATGTGCAAGTGAAAAAAAAAGAGGAGCAAAAGGAAGGGTTGATAAGGAAAATTAGTGAGGCGAAGAGGGAAAGGACGAGAAGAAGAGAGGTATGAAGGAATTAGCATGGGTGAATGAAAGGGCTACTTGATGAGCCTAATGGGGAATATAGGACGATAAGAGAAAGAGTGAGGGGGAGAGGAGGAAGAGGAGGAGGTGGAAAGAACGGGATTCAGATTACTGGATGTTCGGAGGAAGAGGGCGAATCAGTTACCTGTTTTTGACGAGTATACTCGTCATCAAAACATTCACTTCAAAGGAGTCGCAACAGGTAACTGGTTAAGGAGGGAAATGGTGTGGATGATCAACAGGGTGTGGATTGGGGAAGGGTGATTCGTGGAATAGAAATTGGGGGAGAATAGTATCAGTTTTAGAGAAAAGGAAGAAGAAGGTGGGTGACAGGGAGGGAGACGTCAATGCTAGCCTTATACAAGGTGTGTGGGGCAGTGCTGAAAGATAGATTGATAAAGGAGATAGAACAGCAGAGGATGATTCCGCCGAAACATACGGGCTTTAGAAAAGGTATAGAGACAATGGAATATATATATGAAATTATTTCATACTCAGGTATGTGGAAAAGAAGGGAGGGAGGCTGTTCGTGATGATTATAAATATAAGGGCAGTATTTCACTCGGTGTATAGGGGAGAGTTGTGGAAGGCGGTGGAGGAAAGGGGAATAGGGAGTGTACTGAGAGGGAGAGTCAAAGAAATATATGGGGCGACAAAGAGTACGGTAAGGTTGGAGAGAGGAGAAGAGGGGAATAGTTCTAGACCAAAAGGGGGTTAAGGTGACATGCGAGCGACATCTGAGGGATCCATCATTTGTTAAACTTTTCTACGAACTGGATGTACCAAATCGTTTTAAACTTTACAGCATGAACATGGAGGCTATGAAGAAGGTCCCGACATTCAAGAAGTTTCATTTTTATATAAACAATTTTGAAAATATTGAAACTATTAGGTTCATCCAATTCGCAGAAAAGTTTCATAAACGGGACCTCTTTGACGCCACTTTTACATCTTAAGGCAAGGACTCTCGCTAAGGCCGATTGTGTTAAATCTATTTCTGGCGGATATGAAGGAAGTCTTTAAAAAAAAGTGAAAGGGATGAAAAACGTTGGGGTGATTTACTCACTGAGGCTTGCAAACGACATAGTACAGACGAATGGGGAAGAGAGATCGAGAATATTGATAGGAGAGATGGTGAGGTACTGCTGGGAAAAGGGGTTAAAGGTAAATATAAATAAAACAAAGATACTATGTTTCAGGAAGGGTCGGGGAAGACAAAGGGTGCGGATATGGAAGTAGAAGATAAAGGAAAGGGGTGAACGGTAATCAAGAAACTCGGTAGAGTTTTGAGCCAAACACATTTTTGAGCGAGAAACTCACAGCGTCGAGAGCCGAGAGAAACGCGCCCTGCGCGCTTGAGCTCGAGCGAGACTAGATGCCTGCAGTCGATTAGAATGTTAAAATCATGAATTCAGGAAATTCCTTGAGTTTAATTTCAATCACTTTATAATTATTTTATTAAACCGGCACATGAAATATATCATATCGTACAATTCTCAACGTAGTACAACACAGCTGTCGATATGAATACAAATATCGGCAATGTGGCGGGCTGTTTAAGACGGTATTTCTATTAAATGAATTTGTTTTTACCCGAAACAATTAAGTTTTTCTGGCACCTTTCACATCACCTTAAGAGATATTTCTGGTATAATATGCTCGGTTGTCCAGATCTGCTGTCCATTACACACGCATAGCGGACGAGTTGCTTCAGGTAAAAGGCTCCTGGGCTCGTTCCTCATGCCTTCAGAACAGCTGGTTGTCTGTAACTTAGCATGAGAGTCGACCAAATCTCTTGATTTAACTAATCTGTATCCAAGTGGGACTCACTCTATTTTCCGAAAACAAATTAAATGTGGAAGGGATTAGAGAAATTTACAATATTTGTCACAAAGCTGCTAAAATGTAAGTAAAAGCACGAGCGTCGCGTCGTTTGTCACTGAAGTACCTAATGAAAACAATAACAGAACATGTTGATATCGCAAGTAGTAATTTGGAAATTATTCAAATTCCTGCGATTAAATAGAAAATAATCATTGACGCTATCTGAGGAGAAAAATTATTGCATTCATTACTTCCGAATAATAAATTGTCGTGCGGTACAAACAAATTTCATGAGTACAATTTAAAACAGAGAATATTAAGCGGTTAGTGGAGAATTAAAATATTTTATACATACAAAGGAAGTGTCTTTGGATTCAACTGTAAACTGAAACGTTCGCAATTCAATTTTTTTTCTCTGATTCTACTAGCCATCGTATGATACAAGTATATGGCGTTTTATATTATATTAAATAGGAAATACTTACGAGTGTTTGAATGTCGTGACCCCCATATAAAGGAGTATAACAATTTCAGCTCATCATTCTCCTATAATTCCTTACACAATTTATGGATAGCACCGAAATACCAACAGTTATATGAGATAAGCGATCCGGCACTACGCGATTTAAGGATGAGGCGTATAGGAAAGGCGCAGAGTGCATGGAAAAGGACGGAGCTGGACTGTAGAGAAGCGGAGACACAGAGTGGAAAGTAAGAAAAAGATGACGTGGAAGATAGAAGTCCGAACAGCGGTGCATCATTCCTAGTATATAAATAATTAGCATCTACAGCACAAATGTAAAAGACAGCGAAACTTAAAATACATATTTCAAATACGTATGTACAGCACATATATGTATAAAAGATAATACAAAGTAGACGCAAATAAAACATAATGACACTACGGTAGATTTCCCACGAAGGCTGAAGTTCGTGTTTACCTGCAGTAGGTTGCAACATGTTGACGGAGCAGCTCCTTTCCAGTTACCACCCCCTGCAGTGGGACACAAACTTTTCTATATACCATTGACATCTCTGGTTGATACACGTGCAATACAACCTATCCCACTACTGATATGTACGTTATATACTTATTTGAATACACGAGTAACATCTTCGTCGAGATACATCGAGTTACTTTTAAAAGATGAGAAAGGACAGATATGTAGAAGTGGAAAAAGAGCGAGGTATAAAGAGAGGAGAGGGAAAGAGAGAGGAAGAGAGAAACAGATAAAGGGAGGGGGGAGGGAATAAAGGGGGCGTACAGAAGGAAACGATAAAGAGAAATAGAGAAATGTAGGGGTTACAGGTGGCACAAGGACGCTCGAAGAGAAAAATCAAAACAAATTTATGCATTACGATCATTTGTTACTTTCGTTCATATAATCCGATTTATTTAATATTTCTCAGTGGAGTTGAAGCATGCTTCGTGCGGTCTTTTCCGGGGTAAACCGTCTCGTCGTAACAAATGCCGAGTACTCCGTTGCATTTAAATGCAGAGAATATTTCTAGGTGAGGTGCCTAAGATTTCCTACTTCACATATCTTCTCAGTCCTTAACATTATGGGAAAAAATGTTGCATATGGAATTTTAATATATGTAATTAATAATACCTATTGAATGGCCCAATTAACGATGTATTACACGGTTTCACAAAGACTAAAATTGCTTTGACCTTTCAACCAAATCGTATGTTTATTTTTCTATTAGTAATTCACCCTGATTTTGCACGGGAGCCAAGAAAGTGTTAGCACAGCCATTCTTCGACGATTTTCTTCACTAAAATTGCCATTTCTCGGCTCCCTCGAATAATGTTTCATGCACTTACACCTTTCTAGAGAAATGCTTCACGAGATATCCCAGAAGACTAGTCGGATCTTTTAAGGAGTGAAAGAGGGTAACATTTCCAATTGAATTCCTTGTCTATTTTTTCTCTGACCAGTACTTATCGAGTTCTAACGCAATGAAACTATTTACTAACGCGTACAGCATTTGAAAGATCCAGACAGATTCAAGAAATTTGGCATCCTCCCGATACGTTCCATTTTTTACCTATAAGTCGTGCAGATCTTAATTATGATAGTCATTTCTAAATCAAATTTGGTTTATTAATAAAAACTAACTAACCTCTTGCATTGGAATGATGTGTTATGCACGTCCAATGTTATTTACTTCTAACGTGGGAATGTCGTGCTATACACTGATCGACTGTAGTTCTCTGGAGGAGTTTGAGGTAGGCAGCTGCCAATTAATTTCCAGCGCAAAGAGGTTAATTAGTGTACGGATATGTTCGTACATTGGCCGATCTATAAATTCATTCAGTGGAAATGTTAAAATTAAAACAAAAAAAGTGTATAGAGTTCCGTACCTATTGCTCCAGCACTGCAAGTGACACGGGATTGGACAATTTCAATGTGTTATAACTCTGTAAGTACTAAGTGGACAAAAAGTGGAAGAGGAATTTTTGACTGAAAAGGTTAAACTCCTTCACTATCTAAAAAGTCTGTCGAGTGTTTTGGGACACCCTATACAGAATAGTGAAATATTAAAATCCGCCCTGTGGTTCTCGAGATTAGGCCCCATAAACACAAACAAATGCCTATCGAGGACTTTATTTAACATGTTAAGCGTCAAGCCTGTTTTGTCTTCCTTTCCGTTTAGCCCGCGATATCCGACTATATCAGACTTTACCCATTGAAAAGTATATTGTCAGCCACCGGTGACTGAAATGGCGCTTCACGTGTTAATATTATGTAGATAGTAATTAATGCATGATTTCATGGAAGTCCAATGATATCTTCCTACAACATTTCGTTTCATGAAATACTCCCGAAACAATAGTACATTGTATACTAAGGGAGCAAACTGGGTCTTTTAACGCCGGGCGTAATATTGTTCAATGTTTTTATTAACGGTTATAAAAAAACTCGGTTAAGTTTCGAGCCAAATATTGTGAGCGAGAAACTCGCAGCGTAGAGTGCTGAAAGAAACGCGTCCTGTGCGCTTGAGCTCGAATGAGTCGTTACAGAATTCTAGATGCCAAAGATAGAGATTTTAGGAGAGGGGAAATAGAAATACAATTTTTCAATTCCTACAGAAAGAGAAACTAACGTTCGTCCACCCAAAAAAATCAGGAGTTTTTTTTTTCAATTTACCTGACTCCTATCGCTGATACGTACATGGAGTTATAGCGCCGTAACGTTTTCAGTACTCTCAGAATAGTTGTTCTGTTATAATCGTCGTCGCTTCAGTCACGGACTACCATTTTCGCATTCACAAGATTGGTCAACCTTCATACTGTTTTTCGTAGCATATTCGACGGCGCCCTTCGCGGGAGGAACGTGAACTACGATGCTCAGCGATGTATTATCCAATGCCTGATTTTTTCATACTCCCGGATAGTCATCTTCCAGATAAAGATATCTGCTAGATAAGTAAAGGTTCGGTTTTTGTCACTTAACTGTAAGACTTGTTGTCTGGAAGATAGTTAAATGTTTTGGCCACTCTGGCAACACCGTAAAAGTAAGAAGTAGCTAATCTTCTGAATTAAGCCGATATTTCATTAGCGCTACAGCCGTAAGCGATGGAGCGATGAAGCGCGAATAAAACATACTGATTGATTGCAAAGAAACAGCGGAATGGGAGAACTTCGGCGATACATTCTTTGCAGCTAATCAGAATTCGCGCTTCGTCGTTCTATCGCTTGTCCTTATAGCGCTAATAAAATATCAATATAAATCATTGCCGTTACACTATGTGAAGATATAGCACGGTAAAATTTTCAGTAATCAGAATCGTTATTTTGTCATCGTCATCGTCGTCAAAATGGTGCATCCAATATGGCGGATATCCTCCGTTCACGGTCTATCATTTTTATACTCACATGACAGGTCGACATTCATACGACTTTTCGTACGACATTCGATGGTGCTCCTCAAGGAGTGAAAATTAATTACGGCGCTCAGCGTTGTAGTATCTTATCCCCTTCAGATTTCGATATAAGTGCTACATTACTATGAATCTCTTAAGTGCAGACTGATATGTGAAAATGGAATAAAGTTCATTTGCAAGGTTAGGTGAAACCCTTGGTACTAGGCTGAAAGTTCAGCGTCGAAATTCATTTCAGGGTTCACGAAAGGTTTAGAAATGGTGAATGAAACTACTGATCACTACGAATTGGGTGTCTCAAATCGTTTCATACTTTAAAACGTGAATATGGAGACCCTAACGTAGGTCCTGAAACTCACGAAATTACATATTTCATAAACTATTTTTAGATTACCTATAAACAAATTTGAAAATAATTGAAATTTCATGAGTTTCAAGACCTTCTATATGGTTTCCCTATTCACGTTGTAAAGTTTCACACTATTCGGTAAATCGAGTTGGGAGAAAAGTTTTATAAACAAAACCTCTTCGACGCCACTTTTACATCACCTTAAGAAAAATTAAAGTAAAGAAGTTGCGGACCATGCATAACCAATTAATGCAACATATGGAGCGAGCCTCGCGCGCACACAAACATGGGCAAAGTCGCGAGGTCGCGAGATGATAACTCGATCAAATTAAATCTAACGACAACATGAATCATTCTAATTGGAGGAAGCGACCGCGGCCTTGACCCCGGCGAATTAAGGGGCGAGAATTTACAAAATCGTCTAAGGGTAACCATCGTGTCCAATAGCACGTCAACGAACGCTGGCCATAGTGGGAACCCGACGATATAGTAATAGAGACCATAGATTCCGCGGGTATGAAAGGCGAGGATTTTCTCTAATCGGGGTCTTTTCTGATCGTTATGTTCCGATAGAAAGAGCCTTTGGACGTGTTAGCATTGCGCTGCTTCTGCAGGAAAATATCCTCATAACGCGATATCCTTGCTAGGCGTGACGGGATTGCACCGCTCCCCCTGGCAAGCGGATTTAAACGCTGTAGGAGACGAGGTACCAAGTATCGTCCCTCATGAGCTCAGAATCTTGCCCTTAGTAGGCAGATGGAACCAAGTACCCGAGGAAAACGTCGGCAAAGCGTCCGGTCGGGATATCTCGGACTACCTGCGAATGGCGGCCCAATTGACGGATTCCCCTTCCGGGAAACTTCGTCAACTTTTCGGGAAGTTCGACGGAGCGATTCGCTCACCGTGGGAAGCGTGACGACAAAACGCCGTTCCCCTTTTACACCGCAGCGAGACAGTCTGCGGCCCGGTCTAGTGTTTTCGTGTTTGCCCCCTTAGCGTGACGTCATTGCGACGTTCCCTGGGATTCTAGTAGCTTGAGTCGAACCCGGACGGCGGAAAAATATAACACAGGACGACGGTGTCAGACTCTTGCACCTGCCCTTCGGCGTGACGTCATCGCGACGTTCCACGTGTGTTCGGCGGCACTGTGTCTCACGAGGGAAAATCGGAGATGGTCCCCGGCATGACGTCATTGCGATGTTCTCCGGGTGACTGGAGGTGCGGGGCGACCCGGCCTCTCGGTGCAACATTTTTCCACACTTACACTCCGAGGGTGTGATGGCATGACGCCGTTCCCCGTTTGTTAAAGGGTAGCCGAAACACATTGCTCAAAGTGTGACCGTGGAGCCCGTCCACACGAAATCTGGTATAGTTAAAAGACACAAAATGAACTTACAGTTAAAACCTTACGGGACGCAATAGACAGACACGCAGAGAAATTTGATAACTTCGAGTCCATGACCGAACCATCCTCAGACTAGACGTATATTTAACCCTGCATCCCTTTCACACGCCTTTCACTGATGAAACATGCTTAGAGGCTGAGGCTCTGCGCTATTGAAAGCCCTAGATAATCTGAGATTGCTAAAAGGAAATCCAGGGCAAGCCAAAAAGGCAGAATAAGACACTTCCTTGCGACCGCTTGAGTGCGCGATCGTCGTGTGTCAAGATATTTATATATATCTGAGAGGTCCAATCGTTGGTGAAAGTATTCTCCGAATCGAGTGTACCGATTCGTTTCCAATTTTATGTGAATATGGAGACACTAAGGTA